GGGGCAGTTCTGTGCGCGGGGACTGGTTACCAGGGTGACGGTGGAGCTGCCGAGTGCTCTGGGGGCCGTGCTGGGACCCCTCGCGGCTGGCCGTGCTGTGCTAAGAGTGTAGCAGGTGGTGCACACGGGCCCTGGGGTGAGCTTCACGTCTCACACACGAGCTCCGGGCCTGCCTCAGGTCCGGGAGAGCAGTGCGTGCACTGCACCACGAGGCTCACACGTCCCATGTGCAGCTCTCTGGAGCCACGGAGAAGTATCCCAGCTGTCTTTCTTCCGACCTTGTCCCATCTCATCTCATTGACGTGTTTTCTATAGCAGTTTAAGTTACTACTCTTTGACTTTATGTTTTTCTTTTCTTTTCCAATCCGAGTGCTTCTTCAACTTTGAATGTCCTGCCCCAGTGGCCCCGAGCCACCAAGCGGGTCTGATTTGACCGACCCCGGGGGGGGGGGGTTGCCTTCTTGGCCCTCCGCCCTCTGGGCCTCCTCGAGGCCGTCTGGGCTGCGGTTGTGTTGTGGTGCCCGCGGGCGTGGCCTGTGCCCACTGCTCCCCGTGCGGCCGCCGGTGGGCATCAGAACTCAGGGCGGCTCTCGCTTTCCCCGTGTCCGGCCCCTCGGCAGCGAGGAGGTACGTTTGCACTGGTGGGCTTAGAGCCGGAGCCGCCCGGCCAGTCCCCTGGGCTCCTCCCGCCGCCAGCCCGGGGGCCGACTGCGCCTGCGCAGCAGCACGGGGCGGGGCACGGGGCGCAGCGCACGAACCCTGTTGCATCAGTCAGGGTGCTCCTCTAGACTTCGCGCCCTCCTTTCCCGCGTCACCTGGGGTCCACAGGCTGCGGCCTGGCCTCTGGTCTCCTTGGTGTTGGGACCGGGGGTCGGGGGAGCAGCCCGGCGTGGGACCGTGAGGCAAGCCGTCTGCACAGAAGAGAGCACGTCCGTGGCACAGTGTGCGTCTGGCCCTGCTCCCGGCCAGCCGGCACCCGCCCCCTCGGGTTTCGCCGACCAGGCCTGCCGGGTGGGGGGGAGGCCCAGCCCGCTGCTGATGTGAGGTGGGAGACGGTGACGTGGGGCTCCCCAAACACTCCCCTGCCCTTTGTGAAGGGAGCGGGCTATTCGGGGATTTCGCGTAAAACGTGAGGGAACCCAGGCCGTTCGGGGCTATTTTGTCGACACTCGGGAACCGTGGTGTTTACTGCGCCGGGCCGGCTTCTCACCGGCTGTGCCGACAACACGCGTGGTCACGGAGTCGTGGTACGTTTGGAGGGTAGGCCACACATTCTACAGGGAGACCGTGTGCGGGACGGGACACACGCGTGTGCTTGCCCACGGCACGCATCCCCCCCACCCTGGCACAGTACCCCTTTCGCTCTGCTCGCCCGCCCATGGTGACCCGGCACCTCCCGAACTCACGGACGGGGTCGCCCGGGAGCCCTGTTGCGTCTGCGGCGTGGGCTTGGCGCGCCCGCTCCGTGTGTGTGCGTGTGGCCGCATGAGGGCCGGGTTCATCTTGCCCTGTGCCCTGTGCCCTGTGCCCTGTGCCCTGTGCCCAGGCCAATGCTGGGCACGCTGTAGGCGCTTGGTGCGTTTTGTTGGCCGAGTGTGTGTTTTAGAGCAGACGCCCGGGGAGAGCCCCTGGCGGCCGCCCGGAAGGCCGGGCCGGGCGCTGCCGGGCGGCGTGGAGGACGCATGTGCAGGTGGGGTCTGTGCTGGTCCCGCAGAGCTGGCCGGCGCTGACCTGAAGGACCGCGCGAGCGACCACAGCCTCAGCAGCAATGCCAGCCTCCCCAGCGTCCAGAGCTGCAGGCGCCTGCGCGAGAGGAGGGCCGCCAGCTGGGCCGTGTCGTTCGAGCGCCTTCTGCAGGACCCTCTTGGCGTCCGCTACTTCTCTGTGAGTAGGGGGTGGTCACGGGGCCCGGGGGCCGTTTGCTCCCTCCGCCGGGGGCTCCTCAAGAAGGACCTGGGGCGCACACCCCAAGGTCAGCAGCGGTGGAGTCGCCGAGCGGCCTCCCGCGGGGGCCTCCCCCTGGCCCCCTGCTCGTCGCACGGGAGACCGGGGCTGGAGGGGGCCTCTGCCCAGCTCGGCCCTGGCTCTGCGTGGCGGGTCCCCCTGCAGTGGCGAGCACGGAGCCTCCTGTCAATGCTTAGCGGAGCTCCACGTGCCGAGCGCGGCTGCTGGGAAGGGTGTCCTGCCTTTGGGGGAACAGCGGCGAACACCGGCGCGGTCCTTAAAGTGCGGGCGGCTTTCAGTCTGTGGTCCGTGGCCCTCGGGGAGGCTGGGGAGAGACGCTTCCGGCCCCCGGTGTCTGTGGAAGGCAAACCAAAGCGAAGGGCGGGAGCGAGGCGACAGCTCAGGAGGAGGGCGGATGCCGGTGACGGGCTGGTCGCACGTGAAGGCTAATTGGTGGTGTTTTTCTTAGGATTTCCTAAGGAAGGAATTCAGTGAAGAAAACATTTTATTCTGGCAGGCCTGTGAATATTTTAACCATGTTCCTGCACACGACAAGAAGGAGGTAAGTTTGCTCACGCCTGGGGAGCGGGAAGGTCTCGCCGTGGGCTAGACCCCAGGGCGGTCTGAGGGCGACGTGACTGTGTTCTCATGGGGTTACCGAGAGACGCTTCTTTTTCAGCATAACTTTCCCAATACGTGTGATGTTTAATTTTGCCTGAACGTGGTTGACGTAAGCGCCTGTGAAACCTCTTTCCGCGGACGTGCTGCCGCTCCGCGTGTTGGAAGGGGACTTCGATCCCCGGGCAGGAGCACGCCCTGAGCGTGTGCGTTTGTGCGGCTCCACTGCCCACGCCTCACCTGCCACGAGAGAAGCCCCCACGGGCGCCGGCCCTGGTCCACGGTGCGGGCCCTCCTTCCCGCCGCGGATGAGGCCTCTTATGTGCCCGGCTCACGCCGTGTGGCACGGATGAGTCCCCGCTTGCTGAGACCACACGCGTGAAGCGCCACGTGCGGGACGGCCCCTCGGTGCCCCAGGGCCCCAGCAGCGCCCGCTGGAGAAAGTCAGGGAGGAGCCCGTTTGCTGGAAGGTTTCCTACCGGCTTGACCTCCGTTCACTCAAGCAGGCAGTATTTACTGGGCCCTAGGGAAGTGCATCTGCACCGCTGGGCCCGCATCGGGCGTTTGGAACGTGGAGACCAGCAGCACGCTTGCACGTCGGGGGAGCCCGCGGCCCGCGCTTCCCGCCCACACCCGTGTCCTGTCAGCTCTCCTACAGGGCCCGCGAGATCTTCAGCAAGTTCCTGTGCAGCAAAGCCACCACCCCCGTCAACATCGACAGCCAGGCCCAGCTGGCGGATGACATTCTCAGTGCTCCGCACCCCGACATGTTCAAGGAGCAGCAGCTCCAGGTAACTGTGCCTCGGTTCCCCGCAGGGACTCCTCGCCAGGGTCCTCTCCGCGGGACCGCGTGCCCACAAGCGGGCGGCCAGCCCGAGGGGGGGGGGG